TTTTTTTAGCAATTTGCAGCTCCTTAACCGGCCCAGGTTCGTCCTCTTATCATCTCCCTATATCCGATTTTTCTCTTCAAAATTCCCATAATTTAACGGGAAAACCCTTTTCTTGTTGTAGATTAATCTGTCTTGTTTCTTGTCTGTACTTCAATTCTTTTATCCATTGCCCTTTTATTCCACCATTAATGAAATGCAGAACCCTTGATGTCTCGATCCTGGAACCGTCTTTCTGCTTCATCCTGTCATCTGGGTAATGATTAAAATCGTAAATTTCGTTCCTTTCTGCTTTGTTTTGGTTTTAGCAGTTGAGAAATCCCTAGGGTTCTGATTGGTATCGTTCTAGGGTTTCTCTTTGTTTGTTGATTGCTTCTGCTTTTATGGACCTGCAATTGGTGAATGAGGCGTTGAGCTTTTCAAAGAGGAGGAGAAAATGGCTTATTCTACTAGCGGTATGTGGGGTCTCGGGATATGGGGTTTACAAGGCCTACCATTTACCCTCTGTGGTGAAGAAGAGAGAGAGGCTGATGAAGCTATTTGGAGCCGTGTTTTCTTTAGCTGAATTGCTGTCAGATTCTGCAGAGACTATTAGTGTTGTGTCCAAGGACTTGAAGGAGTTTTTGCAGTCTGATTCAGATAAAATCCCCAATAGTTTGAAGCAAATTTCTAAGATTGCAAGGTCTGAAGAGTTCTCTGAGTCTTTAATTAGGGTTACTGAGGCTTTGACCTTAGGGATTTTAAGAGGGTATAAGTTACAATCGAGGAGTGGCAATGAATTGGAAACTGGTTCAGCAAATTCGAGTTTTCCTGATAGGGTAATGGATAGGATTTTTTCTAATGCTGGGACTGGATTTGTATCTGTTGTGGTTGGTAGCTTTGCAAGGAATTTGGTTCTGGGTTTTTACTCGAATGATGGAGTAGTTAATGGATGGAGTGGAAATGGTGGTGGGAATGTGTCTCGAAGTGTGTCAGGTTCATCAGATGTTCCCAGTTGGGTAAATGTGATCTGTGATGACAAGTGTAAAGAGCTTATAGGGGATTGTATCCAGAAATTTGTGAGCACAACAGTTGCTGTCTATCTTGACAAAACAATGCACATCAATACTTATGATGAATTGTTTGCTGGTTTAACCAATCCCAAGCATCAACATAACGTGAGGGATGTTTTGGTTTCTGTTTGCAATGGTGCTGTCGAAACACTTGTAAGGACATCACATCAGGTTTTGACTACTTCGGACTCAAATTCAAAATCAACTCCAGGCTCAAGGTGTTCCATCATCGATCAAAGTGAAGATGCTGGTGAAGTTACAGATGAATGTTTTGAGAAAGAAGCATCATTGAAGCAAATGAAAAAGGAAAGCCCAATTGACAGGGTTCAGAATGGTGGATGGGTGGACAAGGTTACTTCTACCTTAGCAGTTCCAAGCAATCGGAAGTTTGTGCTTGATGTGACTGGGAGGGTGACATTTGAAACAATAAGATCTGTTGTGGAGTTCTTCTTGTGGAAGCTATCCGACGGTTTGAAGAGAAGCTATAACGTTGTCCATGAGGAGGTTGTAGACAGGGGATTGGAAGTCATCAGATATGTTGGTGCAAAATCTTCTGTTATCGTAACCATTTGTCTTGCTCTATACTTGCACATTCTTGGGGGTACCAGGGTTCTGTTATCTGCTTAAATATGTTGTTCCCTTTCACTCAAAGTAGATAATGATACGGTGATATAAAGAAAATGTTTCTAAAGTTGCTTGCTTTAGTTGCTTCTTGTATATATACCTTGGTTTGCTTTAATTTCATGCATAAACAACTGAGATCGTAGGGAATTTATATAGCTTGTTCTTGATTTTCTGGGCACAAACCATTACCTTTGTTTCTGTTTCATCATTCTCACTACCGTATGCGAAGATTGAAGGTGTTTACTGTTAAGCAATACTTGTTTCCTATGAGCAATGGAATGCACAATCAACACTTCTACTGATTATGAAAGTGAAGACATAGATCATAGAAGTAGAACATTCTTATGAACAAGCTTCTGGAATGAGATTGATCTGATTGTTGGATAAATCCATTAACTATGATAAAAGACGCCTAACATTACTAATGGCATTGCAGCAAATTTTTTGCTGTGTGGATTCCATCCCTGGAATGATGACTACAATACAGATATCATGCTCTATGAGTTCTCTGGTTCGTTTGTCATTAAAGTAATGGTTCCATTTAATTTTATTATTTAATTATGCAAGTGTTTATTGGTAAGAAAATGTGTAGAAAGAAATGAATTTTTTTTATTTTTTTTTATTTAAAAAAACCAATTTTTTTAGTTTTTAAATCGAGGGATAATTTTTTTTTCTAAATCAAGGTATGAACTTTCTGTTTTTTTCTACATAAAGATCTTTATTGGATAGGGATGATAACGTGATAAATGGTAATTTTAATCAAAATATGACAAAATTTATATTTTTTAAATAAAAAAATAAAAGTTTAATAATTTATTATCTGATTTGGAAACCCAAAAAATTTGGTATTCTTAAATAGAAAATAAGTTTTGAAAAAATTCCTCAATGGTACATCTACCAGATTTTTTTTCATTATTTAATGAAAATTTAATTTTAAATTTTATATAAGTGAAAATGTTCCAACAAAATTCATTATAAGTGTATGAATAATTTATATAATGCCTATAATACTCTTTTATGATGTAATAATTAAAATAAATTTTTTTATCAATTAATATTAATTAAACAAATTACTACAAAATTTAAAAATGACAATTAAAACACTCTCTCCATTTTTCTCAGTACATTGTTCATCATTAGAGATAAAATATATTTTGTTAAATCCTAAATTAATTAATATTTAAAATTCTTTTTTTTTTTGGTTTTATTAATACAATTAAAAACTTGGTTAATTGAAATATTTCAATTTGGTTAATGATTAAAGATCAAATATTTTTTGACTTAAAAAATTAAAAGAATTTTGTTAATTGCGTGAACCATGCATTTTAATAGAAAAATCAAAATTTTGGTAATTAAAACTAAAATTTTGAATTATGTTCAGGTGTTAAAATTAAAATTATTAATCAAAGTAAAAAAAGAAATGAGAGGGAGAGTTTTGCTTAATGTTATTTTTTAATTTTAATATTTATTTAATTAAAATTAATAAGTGGTTAAAATTTTAATTATCTTTCAAAAAAAGTATTTTAGA